ATAACATATTTTTTTATCAATTTCATCCATTGTAGTTTAACTTCATCAATATTACATACTGACCCTAAATTTGAACAAATATATCACATTAACCCCATTTTCATAATTTTTTGAAAAAAGAATTTTTTTTAGAATATTTTTTTTTCAGAATATTTTTTCTCCGCCAGATTCCAGTGTTAGAATTTTGTTTTTGAAAACTTTTTTGTTTTGAAATATTTTTCCGGCCGGTCAGCCGCCGGTCTCCGGCGTTGGCTTTTTTTATCCTTCCCTTTTTTTGAAACTTTTTTAACTACATAAATAATATTGAATGCCAAAACAGTAATTATACTTATGGTTATCTACACTTTGCCCCCCGTACTTTGCCTGATTTTGCGATTTGCCCCCATACAAAAAAATTTGCACGACCATTCATACCTGGACTTATTAATTTGTTGCACTGATGGCTAAAATGTATACTTTTGGCCAAAAAGCTCCTGGAATTGCACACGTGCAATACACGCATGAGACACACGTGCGATACACACGTGAGAATTAAGGGGCAATTTCACCGACTCACAGTGGTTTTAGTATGAAAAAAAAAAAGAAAAACAAAAAACAAAAGAAAAAGAAAAAAGGAAAAGGAAAAAAGAATAAAAGAAAACAATTTGCATCTTCTGACTTCTCTTTCCAAATCAGACCACCACCATCACCCTCGCTCCACCACCTCACCACATTTACGTGATTTCTTTAGCCACATTTCTTCTCTTTATGTAACTCCGTAGATCACTATCTAAATTGTTTGTTATCGATGTGGGATAATACTCTTGTTTTTTTTTTTTTTAACTTATTCCAATTAAATCTACATTAGCACTTGCAGAAATCATGTCAAAGATAGAATATATGAAGAACTTTTAAGTATGTAATTACATATCAAAATGGCTCAAGAGTGTGCAAATCTTTTCAATGTAAATACAAACTATGTATCTTCTCTATGTTGAGAAACTAGCTAACATAAACTGCATTGCTCTAAGACCTATTATCATATGTGTATCATGCTTTTCTCCAATGAGAAGTGACATCAATGAAAAACTCTTATGTGCAAGGAATAGTAAGGCCACCCATCGGATGATAGAATCCAAATTCTTCTTCACCTTGGCATAGCAATTCTTGAAACGAAAGGTGATTCAAATACGACAATGAAATAACGAAAGAACTTCTTTTCACTTTCTCCGCAATAAAACGCTAAATGCCCCTTTGGAATTCCAGTTGATCTCTTTTTCAGCCGATAAAGACCGTCTAAGAATTTTGTGACTAGTCATCATTTTTTCGTTGAAGTAATCTTGGTGAAGTTGAAGACGAAAAATGAGGGAATGTATATGAGATTCTGTGAAGCAATTGAAATATGAGAATTACGTTTTTAAATTTTTGTCACGAATAAACATATATATATATATATATATATATATATATATATATATATATATATATATGAGAAAGAGAGAGAGACACGAAGCCGTATTTGTAAATGGCGTAAGTACACATGATAATCAAGTTGGATTGAGCACTGAATAATTCCTATACGTAAAATGTTGATGGAAATGACAAGTTTAACCTAACTTTGAATGAGTATGTGGCTTAAACATTGTTGAGAATCTATTATCCGAATCCATTCTTCATCACTCGACGATAATTCATACATCGTAAACTTTCTTTATTTAAATGTTTATATTATATTTAGGATGTATCAAATGGAAGAACTGTATATGGTAATTATATTAGAGCAACCTCTACCTCTCATAAAAATAATAAACCTTAAAATCATTCAAACTTATGTTAAAACATCAAAATTTGAATTTTTTTGCCCTATCGGTTCATGTAATGAATTAGTTGTATCCAACTCCATATACTGCCAGATAGGATTTTATTACAAATGGCAGAAACCTCTTAAATGCAGTTATAAACTTGCTAATCGTGTCCTGAATCATTATAACTCCGAATGGAAAAAAGAATTATGAGTCATCCAATTAGTTTTTCTTTGCATTTTGCAGCCAACATTATAATTTTTCGAGCCTTACAAATATCGTTATATTCTTAATTGAGGGCCTTTTACGATATTCAGAATCGTTGTTCAATCAAAACCCTAGTGCTATATATTTCATATTTTGTGCAGATAGAACAGTCATGGCCATTACATAAACAAATAGAACAGGGTTAAATAGATTTTTCTTTTTATTTCTTTCTCTGTTTGAGTAATTCTTTCGCGCCAAAATTGATACAACTGATCTTCCGTTTCATATCATAATAGTTATCCTCTCGATGCTTCCAGCCGAAGCCGTAGCCAAGTTCCATTGCGTCTGCAAAGCCTAGAAGAACATAATCCGCGATCCGCAATTCGTTAAAGAGCACATTCAAATCCAGGCTGCTAAAGGTAAAGACTATATTCTTTATGTGCCATTGAACCGTACAAACGAGCGTGCTTTCACATTACTTTGTGATGAAACGTTCGATCGGGCCCTAGAATTCGAAATTCCTTATGAGTTTCGTGATATGAGCTTCATCATAATCGGTTCTTGTAATGGTGTGATGTGCTTCACTGATGCGAATAGCTTTGGTAGCACCGTGTATTTGTGTAACCCCTCCATTAGAAAATACAAGACCGTAATTAACCCAATATTTGATGGTGTTGAATTATCGTACCAAGGTGATGATGATTTTGCTTTAGGGATTGGGTATTATGAACAAACGAACGGTTACAAGATTATTAGGATTGCTATCATAAGTGATGAAGAAGATGAGACAACTAGTAAAATTTTGTACCCTGTTAAGTGTATATTTATACACTTAATTCTATCTTTTAATTGGAGCTTTTGATGTGTTTTTACGATAATTGGTGCTTAATTTGGTTATTATTTGTATTTTAGGTGCAAATTGAAGAATTGGCAACTTTTGGGGTGAAAACTGCAATTTCGGAGAAAAAGTGGGCCAAAAGTGAAAAAAGCAGAATTCTGGAGAATTAAAAGACCGCACGGCCGTGCGGATTTTAGTTCAAAATCTCACACGGCCGTCCGGATGGTCGTAGGTGCGCAGTGAAGGAATTTTAATTACACAAGGAAACCCGCCCTATTATATTTTTGCACCCTATTTAAAGGCCACAAGCACACAATTAGATGGATCTTTTTATCTTTTATCTTTTTCTTTAGTTTTTATTTTTCATCTTTTCTACACGCAATCGAGGAGCAAGAGAACGAAGACGAAGACTTGACGAATCTTCATCCTAGTTTCCCTTTTTCCTTTTCTTTTCTGATTTTTATGAATTTCCGTATTTTTATTATGCTTTTCGTTACGAACATGAGTAGCTAAGTTTTTATTCTAGGATTTTATTGGAACCCTATGTGGTGATTCGAACCTCTTATTCGACTTTTATGCAAGTTTAATTTTTCGATTATTTCTTCTATCTTGATCTTATTTAGTGCATGAGCGTAGCTAACTTATGTCGCTATTTGTTATTGTTAGAATTGATTGACAGATCGTTTTAATAATTAGAACAGGGATAGAAGAGCCTTCGAGTAGTTTTTCACCGAATGCGTGTGTTGATTGCATGTATTATCGTAGACATACAGATAATACCTTAGGTAGCCGTTTGCGAGACTTGTTATTTAATGCTTTATTTATATTAGGTTTGCATAGACATATAGTGAATCTTTTATGAATAATAGGTTTATAGCGCAGCGACAGCTGGTTATGAATAATTTCGTGTCTTGGGTTAATAATCGGGAATCGTAACTTGCATAATAGGAGATTAGTTGGGTGAAGAATTATCGCATAGGGGGAAGATAAAATCCTAGATCCGTTTATTATTGACTTTTTCTCGTGATTACTTGTTTTCTTAATTATTTTAATTTTATTAGTTAATTAATTTGACAACCTTGCGTAGGCTGGATAAAAATCACAATTGTTAGGATTTGGTACTTAGGATTAAATAATTTGCGTATTCCCTGTGGGATCGACATCCGACTCTCACGAGTCTACTTTACTACTTGTTTGCGATACGTACACTTGCGTGTTGGTATTTAGCACCCAACATACCCCGAACAAAATATTAAATGAAGACATTACGATATTCGAAAATTTTACTTAAACAGCAAATGTACTACTATAGTACGTTCATGTCGACCTAATAATTTATGTAGCCTATTACATCTCCCTTTTGATAAGTTTTAATCGAATATGGAAACAATTTAATAACTAAACGATCTATGTATGATATCGGTCATATTAAATGAATAATTTGTACCCATATGTTTCTATACGTCCGCACGTGTTTTCTTCGAGTATTTCCCGTAATTTGTTAATGGAAATGATAAATTTAACCTAGATTTTGCATTAGTATGTATATAACTTAGAATGCGTATGTAGCTTAAAGAATGTCGAGAATCTATTATCTGAATCGATTCTTCATCACTTGATGATAATTCCTACATCGTAACCTATCTTTATTTAAATTTTTATATCAAATTTAGTATGTATGAAATGGAAGAACTGTATATGGTAATAATAAACCTTAAAATCATTCAAATTTATGTTAAAACATCTAAATTTGAATTTTTTTAGACTATCGGTTCATGTAATAAATTAGTTGCATCCAACTTCATACATTGCTAGATAGGATTTTATTACAAATGGCAGAAACCTCTTAAATGCAGCTATAAACTTGTTAATCATGTCCAGATACATTATATTTCCAAATGGAAAAACAATTATGACGTAATTCAATTAGTTTTACCTTACATTTTGCAACCAACATTACAATTTTCGATCAATTCAAATATTGTTACACTCTTATTTAAGGGTCTTTTACGATATTCATAATCATTGTTCAATCAAAACCCTAGTGCTATATTTTCTTGTTTTTGTGCAAATAGAACAACAGTCCTAACCATTCCATAAACAAATATAACAGTGTTAAATCGATTTTTGTTCGTTCTTTTTTTCTCCGTTTTTCGTAATTATTTCGCGCCCAAATGGATACAACTGATCTTCCGTTACATATCATAATAGTTCTCCTCTCGATGCTTCCAGCCGAAGCCCTAGCTAAGTTTCAGGGCATCTGCAAAGACTGGAAGAACATAATCCGCGAACCGCAGTTCGTAAAAGAGCCCTTTCAAATCCAGACTTCGAAAGGTAAAGACTATCTTCTTTATGTGCCATTAGACCGTACAAACGAGAGTGCCTTCACATTACTTTGTGATGAAACATTCGATCAGGCCCTAGAATTCGAAATTCCTTCTGAGTTTCGTGATATGAGCTTCATCATAATTAGTTCTTGTAATGGCGTGATGTGCTTCACTGATGCGAATAGTTTTGGTAGCACCTTGAATTTGTGTAACCCCTCCATTAGAAAATACAAGACCGTAACTAACCCAATATTTGATGGTGTTGAATTATCGTACCAAGGTGATGTTGATTTTGCTTTAGGATTTGGGTATTAAGAAAAAATGAACGATTAGTTCATTATTAGGATTGCTATCCTAAGTGATGAGGAAGATGAGGCAACTAGTAAAATCGAGGTTTGTTCAATGGTCGCAAGTTCGTGGAAGAATCTAGAAGTGGATTACTTTCCATGGGAAATCATTGAATTAAAATTGGAAGTTTTGATGCGCGATTTGGTTCATTGGAAGGGGAATTACAGAAATGGGGACGAGCGTATCTCGATAATTTTGGCGTACCATATGGGAGAAGACGTGTTCTGACAGATAGGATTACCTAATTATAAAGTCGATGGGGAAAACTTGGTCGAACACATTAGAGTGTATAAAGGGTATCTTTCTATGCTTGTATTTCATCTGTCGGATCACTATTTTTGGCTCAAAAATTGTCACTTGTGTGTAATGAACGAGTATGGAGTGGTGAGTTCTTGGACAAATCTATACACTTGTAATAGATGTTGGAGTCGTTATGCCGGATATGTTTACTAATAACGACGAGATTGTATTTGAAGACGGTGAGTGTGATTTGACCATATGCGACTTCGAGAACACTATTTCGTACCTTGGAGTTGAAGATCAAGATTACCTTAATTTTGTGACCTATAACAGTAGCCTTGTATGTTGGAGGACTAAAAATTTGCATTTGGTCAGTTTGTTATCTTAAGACTTTCTTTTTTCTTGGTGTGTTTAGTTACGGATTATCGTTGTTTGTAATTGTATGGTGTTAGAGGATTGTATCCGCTCGTTATTTTTCTTTTGAGGTGGGAGTATTTTGTTGTTTTGTTTAATTTTGAATTATCATGGTTTGTATTTTGTATGGTATTTGAGGATTTCTTGTACGCTTAACATTTGTTGTGCACATTTGTACACTTAACATTTTTGCACATAGATAAAACCTAGCAACTTTAATGCACTAAACACACACAACATGAGCATATTTCACATGAGCATAGTTGATACTCCGAATCGGGTGCTCCATAATGCACGTGAGATGAACAAATGGACACAATTAATGCACTAAACACACACAACACGAGCATATTTCTAATGAAAGACTGATGAATTTCAGTGTGTTTATTACACTCAACACTCACCTAATAAATTATCTCCAAAATCTCTAGGCATATTGCACATTCTTCTGTATTCTAAATTATTTAGTTGTTATTTATTACCTTTGGTGGGAATTTATATAACCTAGATGTTAACATTGCATTTAATACATGACTTCTATATAAAAATTTGGTAATGAAAAATATTTTAATTGTAGACACAATTTTTTCGGCATGGGTGTTGCCTAGAACAAGCTCTTTATGATTTTAGCTTCTTGACGACCACACATGATTTTACTTACATTCCTACGGATTGTTTTTCTTTGTCTCACTACTCACTTGAAACAGTTTACCTCATTTATTATGTGAAATGTGAAAGATATGGTGATTATTAGAGCATCTTGAACAGTTTTGTCTTAACCTAGAATTTATATTTTATGCACAACTATGTTGAAACCAAGAACATAATGTTAATAAAACAACTTGCTAAATTCTATCTTTTGCTTCTCAAATTTGTGAAGCCACTTATTAAATTTAACAAACGTTTTATAATATTAAATAAAATTATGTTGTACTCATTATTTATTATTAAAATATTTTTATTATTAGGTGGGGAAGGTGTGGTGGGTTAAATAAATTTTAAGATTTGTGGGTTATTTTTTTCTCTTTTGTGCAAGTTTTTTAGCACTAAAATGAATCGAACTGAACTTCAATTTGTGCGCAAGGTCAACACGGGGAGGTGCTCCAAAGGTGGTCAAGAAAGATGCTACAAGCCATAGTACGGCACTTGGGTTGTGGGACGCCCGATTGTGTGGAGCCGGGACCTTTACCGGCACCGGTTCTTGAGCCCGTGCTAGAGCTTTCCGATGACGAGAAGCGTGAGAGAGATGGAGAGGAGCACCTCGATCACGTCGACTCCTATTAGTCAGGTGCTTTCTATCCTTCAACTTTTCTCTAATTTTGTTGAGGGCAACGAAATTCTAAGTTTGGGGGTGGAAAAATATTTATTTTATTAGTCATTTATTTGCGTTTAGTTTGCATGCATTAGGTTTTATTTTCTTTTTGTTGTTTTTATTGCTTTAAAAAAAATATTGCTGGAGTCCAATGCATCGGTGAGTTGTAATGATGAGAGATGACCAATGTTTGATGATGAGATTGCTTGTTTTGTTGTGATGAGGACTAGATGTTTGGTTAGCTTTCGTTTCAACGGAACTTAGAAGCGAATTATTGCTAGGAATCACAATTTGTGCATTACTTTTGCTGAATATTTTGTATTTAAAATTTGCAATTAATTTATGCTAGATCATGCTAAGTTTGGTTTTAAATTAACTCAATGTGGCATTTTTGTAATTTCAAAGCTTAGATCAAATTGGTTTAAGGTCAAATATTAGACAACTAACAGCGAGGCCACATTGAGAAAATTTTTCAAGTGCAGGGAGACAAATCGATGCAATCATGAGTAGAAGGAGGTAAAGTGATACCGAACCAAAGTATGGGGGCAAACTGGAATTTGCCCTTTTTTCCTTTTGTTTTTTGTTTTTTTTTCTTTTGATTTTTGTTTTTTTTTTTCCGGCGGCGGGTCGTCAAAGCTCTGGTTAACTGACTCAGCATTAGTTAATTTCATCATTAGTTGACATTCGATTTTTTTGTGTCTTTTTTTACGACGGATATGATAGGAGATTGAAGAATGATCATGTCACTAATAACATTGCTGAGTCTTTTAATAATTGGATAGTTGAACTTAGGCCTAAGAATTTCTTTCATTTGTTAGATGGACTTAGAGCAAAGTTCATGAACAGGCTGATAATAAGGAGGAAAAAAAGAATTAGGTGGAAAACTGATCTTCCTAAAAATGTAGTGATAAGGTTGAACAATGAGAGATTAGAGGCTAGGAAATTCCGTTTCTTTGTTGCAGGTGACAATGAATTCCAAGTTCAGGAAGATAACCAACTTTTCATTGTTAAGTTATCTAACAGAACTTGTGAGTGTCAGGTGGATCTGAGTGGAATCCCTTGTAAGCATGCAATTTTGGGGATTCTGTACAGAAGGGAAAACATAGAGGATTATGTTCACAACAATTTGTCTAAACTACAGTACCTCACCACTTACAGTCACCATATTCATGCCATTGCAAGTTCTGAATTGTGGCCAGAAGACACCACTGTTGCTCTACAATATTTGTTGCGTCAACTTATAGGAGGCCACCTGGCAGGCCAAAGAAAAACAGAAGAAGAGCACCAAATGAGGGGGAAACTACAAAGAGGTCTTATGTTGTAAGATGCAAAAGGTATAATGGCTTGGGGCACAATATCAGAACTTGCAAAGGATCTCCAAGGTCTTCTACTGTTGAGGTAAATGTGTTATTAGACTTTTCATTTTTTTTAGTTTTATGTTACAGTTTAGTTGATTTGCGATGTTGTTTGTATTTTAAGACTGTTTAGTTGATTTGCATTTGGTGATGTTGTTTGTATTGCAAGCAAATGTTGAAGATGACAGCCAGTTCCAAGCATCCAATAATCCTGAAGCTGAAATTCCATTGTCACAAGTTGCTGAGTCAAGCATAGTTGGCAAGAGAAAATCATCAAATACTGCCATTAACCACAAAAGAAAGAAAGTACACAAGGTGTATTTACAAGATAAGAGTTATTTTTTGAATATGATGTATATATTTTGAACAGTAATTTCTCGTTATTGTCAGTTAAATATTCAGGGTGATCTACAAGCTGAAGGCACGTCCATCAAAGTTCAAGCAAGCTCATATATTAAGTTGATTTCCCCACTGTTCAATTTGATGGCCCCACTGTCTAAGTTCAAGCTCATTTTAAGGCAACTTCAAAAGCAACTTCAATGGCAACAACTTTCAATACATCATCAACATCTTCTAAGCCACCTTCCAAGGCAACAGCTGTAAGGCCACCTTCCATGACAAAAACAGCTTCCAAGCCATCACCTTCCAAGGGAACAACTTCCAAGACACCACCTTCCAAGGGAACAACAACTAAAACAGCTTCTAAGGCATCTTCGCAACCAGTTTGGAAGCCACCTTCCAAGGCAACAACATCAACTTCCAGGACAGCTCCAACATCTAAACTTGATGATGAATTTGAAGGGAGAATGAGGCAGAGAGTAGGATAGCTATTGGCAACCCCATGACCACTAAATATGATCATCTTCTTCCCGAGATGAGTGCAGATAACCTTTCTTTGATGAGGTTTTACTGTTGATTAGGCATGTTTGAATGACATTAAGTGTATAATGAGATCTGTTTTGTTAAGTACTTGATTAGGCATGTTTTTGGAAGCGTAAGAGGCCTGTTTTGTTATTATTTAGGCCAACTGATGTCATTATTCTGTTTGTGAACAAGTTTGTAAGTCACTTTGAATTAGAATATTGTGGTTTTTTGTGTAGTTGGGAATCTTTGTTTATATTCTGTTTGTGAACAAGTTTGTAAGTCAGTTTGGATTAGAATATTGTGGTTTTCTTGTGGAGTTGGAAATTTGTGTTTATTGAAAATATAAGTTTCCTTTATGTTGATTGTTACACTAGTGAAATATAAGCACAAATTTTTGGCATAACACATAAAATGCAAATATTGCTAGGTTTAAAACAATTAGTCTATGAATTACTCCATTGGCAGGTTCCTCAAATTTCACTTCAGATTCTTTTTTTGCACTAGTTGCTTCACTTTCATCATGAAAGTCCTTCGTGGTGTTGTGTGAACAGTTTTGCTGGCCGTCAAAGGGGTCACACCAGTGAGAGAAACCGTGCTCGGAACAACAATAAAATAACCTTCCCGCATTTAAACTTGTTTCCGAGATCATGATAGTAGTTTTTTTTCCACAATTCGACCGCTTGCATTTCTACTTCTTGTAACGCACGCCACTGATTTGAAAATTATTACTTGAGGAGACCATATAATTACAAAAATGAAATGACTTTGAGTTAACAAAAAGATTGAACACATGGTGACACTTATATAAGGGGTGATGGAAAACGGCAATTTTTTTTTTTTTTTTGTACAGACATTACAATTCCCCCCTCTGGAATGTTTTGAATTTCAATTAACCCCTCATGGTACACGGCTATAAAAAAACGGTCAGAATTTTAATTTTTTTTATTATTAAAATTTGAAATTTTTTGTAATTATAAAATTAAACATATTACAATTAGCCCCTTCTGGGGTATAATAGTCTTACAAAAACAATTGCTCACTGGGACACGTGTACAGAGGCATATCTAGAATTTGAAAACGAATATTCCGTAGAATCTTGAAGATTCTGTTAGTCAGAGGGCCGTAAGGGGGTAACTGTTAGACGGAGCAATACATCAGGGGGTTTATAGTAATTCCAAAAACAACAAGGGTGTGTGAGTTATTTGATGATACTTCAGGGGGGCCTGGAATTTACCCTATTTTTTATTATTTTTTCTAGAATTACGAAACTAATTTCAATTTCGTTTTTTTTTAAATCTTAAATTGGCTTCTCAAAAATTGGAATGAAATTTTTTTTTCTAAAATCAAAAATTTTGTGACGAAGGCGGATATATGCAAGCCCAGTATTTTCATTGTTCAAACACATAAAAAAGGGTTCATTAGTTCAAGCCCATAAATTTATGTAATTTTCTTATATCAAGACCAAAGAGGACAAATATGCCCTCATCCACATATACTAACAAAATACAAACACAAACCCCATATTCCTATTTTTAATTTGTTCAAAACCAACCAAGAAAGAAATTAAAAAAAAATATCTTCGACCCGCCTCCGCCGTTGCACGACCATCGCCGCGACGCCGACCAGAGAGATCGCCACCGCGCCGACGCCGACATACAACCCACCACTTGCGCACCACCACCACCGCCCCACCAACAAGTTTTTTATACTAAACTTGTTAGTAAATTCGAAAACATGACTCGATCATCGATTCCTTGATAAATATGTGTGGTGAACATTAATCTATATTTATTTCTTGTTGGGTTGCAATGATTCGGTCGGTTTAGGATTAAATTTTGAGATTGAAATCGGATTTGGGGAAACGGCGTTTCATACCGATTTTTTTTGGAAAAATCAGCACTATAATACCGATTACGCGCCGATTAGTTTTGAAAAAGTCTGTATATTCAGACCTATTTTTTTTTTTGGAAAAAACGGCACTATAATACCGATTTTTGTTTGTAAAATCGGCACGTTTATACTGATTATTTTTGAAAAACTCGGACTGTGAATACAAATTTCTGATATCGGCGATTTTTAAAATAAAAAGATAAAGATAAAAGACACACAAGCTAAAATAAACGGTTGACACATATCTTATTACGATTTCCATCCTTATAAACCACCATCTCCTTGTTTTCCGCCTCCATTGTCAATGTTTGGTGTTATTTGTTGCTTTGGTGTTTAGGGTTCTTGGAAGGAGGAGGAGACTTTTAAATTGTGAAATAATGGGTGTGTTTGTACGTTTATTTTATTTGGTCTTGCACAAAGAAAATGATTTTTTTTCTTTTTTATGTTTTGTGTTTTTAATTTGGTCTATAATTTCACCAAGGGTAAATTACTATTTTTATGTTGGTGGTCTTGAACAAAGAAATTTGTGGGTTTGCATATATTCGCCGCCTGGGCGGAATTCATAATCTCTAATCTTTTAGTCCGCTATAATAAAAATACATAGTATACTTATAAGTGTGATTTTATGGAAATAAATTAGAATTTTCAAAATTATTTTTGAAAACTAAAATTGAAATAAAAATCGGAATCTAATATGTAATCCAATTATGGTAAAAAAAATCGAAATTAAAAAGTTCGGAAATTTGGAAGCAAAATGTTTTTCCACATTCAGAAATACTGGAATTTGAATCGGTAAAGTTTGTATATTCGGTTCTAATTATCACCCCTACTTGTAAATATATTTATAGTTTATGTAATTTATTATTAGGTTATCACACCTAATTTGTTACCGGTAAAATACATTTTCTTTATGCATTTATGTAATATTTTTTATCACTCGTACTTTATAAAGAAAATTAGCTAAACGTTTGTACTATTTTGTATAACTATTTGGTGTATCCCGACCACATTCCTACTGGATATGACACTAACTCTTTTACAGTCTGCTACGAACATGTATTTTGGGACTGATTTGTTGGATCTCAATAATTTGGGACACTTACATGGTGACAACTGCAAGTCTCCGTATATGCATTTTAATGTTTCTCACATTTCCTGTCACTTCTCCATCACCTCAAGATCATTCCAGGAGAACTTTGTTGCCGACTCTACTGGAGATGACATTCAGCAAGAACCAATGGGTAGAAAACGTAGAAACTGGCGTCCCGCGTGGATGTGGGACCACTGAACATCTTTGATGCATTTTATTTGAAGTGTTTGGCATTGATGTATTTGACATATTTTGTTCTATTTGTTTGACATGTATAGTAGTGTTTGCATGTTTTGTAGTGTTTGACATTTGTGTATCTGACTTTTATGTATTCTTACATTTATGTATTTTTTCAAAAATATTCTCAATTAAAAAACAAAAAAGTTTAAAGAAGTAAAAATAACAAATTTGGATTTAAAAATAAACAAATAATGAAATAGCACTTGGAAGTGGCGATTTTAGTTAAAAAAAAAAAAAAAAAAAAAAAGGATGAATGATAAAATCTCACTTGGGAGTGGCGCTTTTTGACTCTAGGTGAAATCACCACTCCCAGAGACGATTTTAGGTATCATAATCATTCAGAAATTGCCTCTCTCAAAGGAGATTTACACCATTTGTGTAAACAAAAAAAAAACAAAAAACAAACACACCATTTGCGTAAAAAGGTGACATTGTTATACCATTTGTGATACGAACCCCGTAGAACTCGTTACGAGACCCTAATACTTTACGCGGAAGCAAGATCGAAAACATCCAAAAACAAAGATTCAAAGGGTGGAACCGCGACCCGTTGCCTATAAAGAGGCAAGAACCTTGGTATGTGAAGACACCACAATCGATTGTGAAAGATCGATTAGTAAGTCGGGGTGAACAAACGGAATCCACCGATATGTTCGAAGAGTTCTTAAAGAACCAAAGAGAATATTCTCAATTAAATCATCAAAATTCGTCCTCTAAAATAAGCCAAATTGGCAACCTATTTATAAGGTCTAAAAAGACTCCTTTTTCACAAGGAAAATGACTCCTACCTATACTATAATAAGGAAACTTGTAAATAAGCAAATCCTAACCATAAAAGACTCTAAAATAATAAAAACATAATAAATACTAAATTAAAAACGTGCATAAATAAATTAGATAACTTGATCTTCAAGTCGACTTCTCGGTCACCCTTCTTAACTCGCGACATTGGGTTGTGCACGTGCATGCAATTAAAGCTCAATTTCGACACTGTTCCACTTCAAATATCTCTTCGCTCAAAACATGAAAGTTGTATATCTTTCAGTTAGCTTTCCGAATCATTTTCAATCGGATTAAATGGACTTCAGATGCGAGAGTTATAGATCGAATGGTAAACTCTGCCAGAATAGGCGAGAATCTCGGATGCATGGAATTCGACTTGTCCAACGAATTCTTCTCTTTCTTTTCTTCCAATTCCAAACCACGGACTCTTGAAAGGCCTGATTCAAGCCTTTATTCTTCAATACCAACACGAACGGCTCCATTAATCTCACTTGTTTTCTCTTCTTCCAATCCTTTGTCTTGTACCTTGTGCGGATCGTATCATTCTCCCCCTCTTTAAAAGGATTCGTCCTCGAATTCGGACAAATATCACAAGGAGTATAAACAAGATCGATCTCTCTGTTTGGTACCGAACTTACACATCTCTGCACCACATCGCCAAACACACTATCTAGCATCCATTGAAGTGGATATGAACGCGAGTATTTTGTAGCTTGAAGTTCCAATGCGTTCAACCTCTGTGTAGAGAATGATTGAAGCATCTCTCTAGGCACCGCCATCTCATCAACATTCACACTGAGAGTTTGCACTTTGCTTAGCTCGGCATTAACTTCGATGCATGGCTGACTCATATCAATTTGTGTAGATAACGTGGGTTATTTACACAATTGGTGTAAGAGTGGAAATGAATAAAAGAAATGGTGTGGTTTTTCCGTAATTTACAAAATTGGTGTAAATTTTCTATGCAAGAGGCGCTTTCTGGCCAAAACTGACACATCAGGAATTGTGCAAAAATAAAGCAGCTTATTTTCTTTTTTGTTTGGTAGTAATCAACGGCTGCGATGTGGAGGAGGAAAAGGAATGGTCGAGATCGGTGCTAAGAAGTCACGGGGCCTAGATTGTACTCTGCAGAGGCGATTTATGCAAAAGCAGAAAACACCTCTGGCAGAGGCGATTTGTACATGTAGGTAGTAACGAGCTGTTGCCTTTATTTCACCAGGTGAGATGGAGGTTGGCTTAATAAGTCGCATTCTTCTCCATTTCTCCACACTCCTTCCAAACAGGTTAGTCTCGAGCCCCCCACTTTTTTATGTTCTTAGCAAAAGAAAATATTAATAACTTTATTTATTTTTTTTAAAACATCTGGTTATTATTATATTGTCATATTAACTTAATCTATTTATTTATATATTTTCAGTTATGCATAAAAAAATTATAAAATACATGTATATTTAATTAGTGTTTTAATTTTTGTTTTTAATTTTTTTTTGAAAAACTTTTACCAATTTTAGTATGAATTATTTTAATTTTTTTTTGCAGAAGGTAAAAGTAAATATACGAAGGTATGTTCTAATATGTTTTAGTATATTTAATTTTTTTCATTTTAATATGTAAAAATTTGAATGCATTTTTTCGTTTTGTATTTGTGGAGTTATCTTATAGTGCGTGGGTTGAAAAAACATACCAATTTAATGACAGTGGTTGCTTAATTTTAAATTGTAATTAAAATTTAATTAAATTTATGTTTAGCAATTTAATTCGTGAGTTGATATATATATATATATATATATATATATATATATATATATATATATATATATATATTAAACACGGGAACTTATATATAGTTATTTATTTATATAAAAACCCATTTTTATTATATTTATTTATATATTAAATTGATTAAATTGCTTAATATATTTCGGTTTGGACATTTTATTTATTGCTATATTTATTTTATTTAACATAGTTCTTAATATAGTAATAAATAAATTGAACCTATTTATTACTAAATATATTCTTATTTATTTAGTTATTGCTTATATATAGTTATTTTTTTATAAATAAATAAATTTTCTTTCATTTATTATATTTAATGAAATATTTGTAGGTAATTTACTTTCGTAGTTCCGTTTCTATAAAATTAGTTAGTTTTCAACCTCTTTTTTTTTTTTGTTGGAACATTATTGCTACAATAAGATATAATAGTATGTGTTTTCGAATTTATTTGTGTGAAAATTAAGAAGTTGTACTATTTTTTTTTGTTAGATTGCAATTGAACGGGAGGATAGAGTAGTGTCCGAAAAGTCGTGGGATTGTTCAAGATCAATCATATATTAATTTCACGTATTTTATAATGCTTTTTAAAAACTAATTTCGTGTTATTCATTGTGTAAAATGTGATACTAATATAATTATTATGATAATATAATTATGTTGTTTGGTTTTTAGATTTGTATATAGTTAAAAGAATTTTAATAACATTGTTTGATAATAATTTTTTTAATTATTTATATTTTCTTTACCAAAACAAATAGCTGAATTTAATGGCACCTAATAAGTAATCGTGTATATTGAGGGTAATATATTCAAGATGATTGGTCGGTGGAATACGCTTACAAAGCAGTTTTTCGAATTAAAAGGAATATTTCTTTCCAACTAATATTATCGAATTTGTATGAACGATTCGAAATAGAAAATACTAGGTTCATTTTATAAGTTCGGGAAAAACATTTTCGCTTATATGGGGATAGGGTTAAATCAATGCTTTGTGAAATTAGTATGGATCAAGATTTAGAAATGTTTCTTGATCGGGAAGAAGGGAATGATTCAATGGACATTTTTGTTCAAATCGTACCATTATACAATAATGCACCGCCTCCACAATTAACTTTCGATCTGAATGAGTCATACAACACAGTCTCACACTTGAGTCCGGAAGTGGTTGCTGCCACACAAGAATTTTCTAGCATGGAATTTACGAATTTTGGTGCTGGAACTTCTACACCTGCGATAAATTTTGGTGGTGGAAATTTTGGGGACACGAGCACAATGAGAGAAGTCCCACACCTCAATACATATGAGCTAACAGGAGATTTTACAGACATGTCGGGATATTTCGTTGGGGCCGATCCTCCTGTTGACTCAAAACCATCCGATCAAGAAGATGACGACAACGTCGACTAGGACCATAATCATGATGATGACGAGAATGTTGCCAATGTTCCTCCTAATATGCCATTAGTGGCACCAGCCTCACTTGTACAGGCCAATGCCTTTCTACTCAATTGATTTTGAAGAAATTATGGCGGACTCATTTGATGTCCCAGACGGGCGATTGTCAAAGTTTTACGATACTGATGTTATTATAATATATGTTTATTGTATGTCTAATATGTATTTATAATATATGTTTATTATATGTCTAATATATTTTTATATTATATGTTTATTGTATGCCTAGTATGTTTTTATAGTATATGTTTATTACATGTCTAATATATGTATGTGTAATATTGATACGATCCTAGCAAGCTCATAGATGAAGAATTGGAAGAAGCGCAAGCGTACGAGTTTAAAGAGGCTATTCAAGTTTTTCTTGGAGAAGAAAGGCTTGAATCGAATATTTGAGATGTCAATGGTTTGGAATTGGAAGAAAAGAAAGAGAAGAATTCGTTGGACAAGTCAAATTACATGCATCCGAGATTCTCGCCTATTCTGGCAGAGTTTACCATTCTCGTTATAAATATTGCATCTAAAGTCCATTTAAGTTGATTCAAAATGATTCAGGAAGATAACTGAAAGATCTACAACTTTCATGTTTTGAGCGAAGAGATATTCAAAGTGGAACAGTGTCGAAATTGAGCTTTAAGTGCATGTACGTGCACAGCCCAATGTCTACGCGAGTTTAGAAGGGTGATCGGGAAGTCGACTTGAAGATCAAGTTACTTAATTTAATGATGCACTTTTTTAATTTAGGATTTATTATGTTCTTATTATTTTAAATTATTTTATGGTTATGATTTGCTTATTTATAAGTTCCCTTATTATAGATTAGGTAGGAGTCATTTTCCTTGTGAAAAATGAGTATTTTTAGCACTTATAAATAGGTTGCCAATTTGGCTTATTTTAACACACGAATTTTAATGATTATTTGAGTATATTGAGAGTTATTTCACCTTCGTTGTTCTACAACAACTTCGGGATTTTACAAGTGGATTCTTGTAACTTTCTTAGCGAGATAATATTGGTTCCTGGTTCTTTATAACCACGGGGTCAATATTCCACCTTGATAATAATGGTTTCTAGTTCTTTATAGCTATGTAGTCATTATTCCGTGTTTCCGCCAAACTTGAATCTTTGTTTTTTGGTGTTTTCGATCTTGCTTCCGCGTAAGGTATTGGGTCTCGTAACGAGTTCTACGGGTTCGTATCAGTTCGTAACTAGAGCCAACATCCAAAACAGGTTTTACCTATCTTTATTTATTGTTGAGTCTTCTAGTATATCTCATCTTTTCTTGAGTTGTGTTATTTAGAGTCTTCGTAAAAAAAATATTCAAAAAAATTCGAATTTTATTTTTTATTTAGATCTTTCCAGCCAAGTTAGGGTATGTTCTTGTCTAAAAAAAGAAAAAAAGAAAAAAAGAAAAAAAATCGAATTTTGTTCTTGTTTAGAGTTCCTTCCAGCCCAAGTTAGGGTTTATTAGTGTCAAAAAAAAGAAAAAAAATTGTTTTGATCATGTCCGAGAAGGCCGGTTATAAAGGTGCAAGAATTGAGCAACGTAGGATGTCGTCAATGGAAAAACGCTTCCAGGAACTCCAAGATCGGATGGAAGGAATTGTTACCCAACTAACGGAACTACGCAAAGATCAACATGTTCGAGGGCCATACGTGTGACGTGATGTTCACCAACCAGTTATACATTAGCTCGTGATGGAAATTTTAGTGTGAACGCTACAAAATCAAGGAGAGAGTATGGGACGAGGGTAAGATTGGAAACATCTAGCCGAGGATATATTGGTCAAGAAAGAGATGGCAAAGATCGAAACCTTAGCTCAATGAAATTGACTATACCATCTTTTCAAGGTAAGAGTGATTCCGAGGCGTACATTCAATGGGAAAAAAATGTTGAGCACGTATTCGATTGTGATTACTCTTCCGAAAAGAAGAAGGTGAAGGTTGCCATCGAAGCGTTCATTGACTATGCAGTTACTTGGTGGGACCAATTTGTCTTAACTAGGCGATGTTGTGGCGAACCACCAATTGACGATTGGGAGTCCATGAAGGCAGTTATGAGAAAGTGGTTCGTTCCTGCCCATTATTATAGGGAATTGAAGATCCAAAGCTTGAGGCAAGTTACTAAGTCAGAAGAACGGAGTTCGATGAGGTGGGAATCGCAAAGGAGTTCTCCAGCGAGCATGGTGAGAGAATCGTTGCAAAGCCTAAAAGAGAGAAATCAAAAACCGAGCAGCAATTCAAGACTAAGAGAGGAGAGTGTCCGAGCAAGCAATTCGTGAACTTGTGGTCCGAAATTGAGGATGATTCTACAAAGGAGAAAAAGATTATTTATTTGTCACCACCTCAGAGGAATGATAACATTGAAATTCCCATGGAGGAAAATGTTCTAGACATCGTGGAAAGCATTGGTGTAAAAATTAAAGGGATGCAAGACGATATTTTTGAGTTGCTGCCCAAGGAGGATGAAAGTGCAAAACCGCCCCACCACTTGAAGAAGAAATTGAAGGTTCGAATTCGATGACGAATCCTTTTGAAGAGGTGGAGAATGATATGATCCAGCCATGCATCGAAGTTGATGCCGAGGTAACCGGAGAGAAAACGTCCATTGTGCATTATGATGAGATGGTGGTGTTGAGGTTTGACGCATTGGGGCTTCGAGCTACAAAATACCCACGTGCGTTTACACTTCAATGGCTGCAAGATGGTATGTTCTGCGGTATGGTGCAGAGATGTGTAAGTTTGCTACTAAATAGAGAGATCGATCATAAAATCGATTTTGTTTATACTCCTTGTTATATTTGTCCGGATTCGAGGACGAATCCTTTTAAAAATGGGGAGTAGTGTGATACGATCCTATCAAGCTCAAAGAGAATTGGAAGAAGCGCAAGCGTACGAGTTTAAAGAGGCTATTCAAGTTTTCCTTGGAGAAGAAAGGCTTGAATCGAATATTTGAGATGTCAATGGTTTGGAATTGGAAGAAAAGAAAGAGATGAGTTCGTTGAACAAGTCGAGTTCCATGCATCCGAGATTGTCGCCTATTTAGGCAGAGTTTACCATTCTCGTTATAAATATCGCATCTAAAGTCCATTTAAGCTGACTCAAAATGATTCAGAAAGATAACTGAAAGATCTACAACTTTCATGTTTTGAGCGAAGAGATATTAAAAGTGGAACAGTGTCGAAATTGAGCTTTAAGTTCATGCACGTGCACAACCCAATGTCTACGCGGGTTTAGAAGGGTAATCGAGAAGTCGACTTGAAGATCAAGTTACTTAATTTAATTATGCACGTTTTTAATTTAGGATTTATTATATTAGATTCTTTTATGGTTAGGATTTGCTTATTTATAAGTTCCCTTATTATAAATTAGGAGGAGTCCCATTCTTTGTGAAAAAAATAGTCTATTTAGCATTTATAAATGGGTTGCCAATTTGGCTTATTTTAATAGACGGATTTTAATGAATATTTGAGTATATTGAGAGTTATTTCTCATTCGTTGTTCTACAGAAACTTTGGGATTTTACAAGTGGATTCTTGTAACTTTCTTAGCGACATAATATTGTTTCTGGTTCTTTATAACCATGGGGTCAATATTCCACATTGATAATAATGGTTTCTAGCTCTTTATAGCTATGGGGTTATTATTTCGTGCTTCCGTCAAACCTGAATCTTTGTTTTTTGGTGTTTTCAATCTTGCTTCCGCGTAAGGTATTGGGTCTCGTAACGAGTTCTACGGGTTTTTATAATATATGTTTTTATTATATGTCTAATATATTTTTATATTATATGTTTATTGTATGTCTAATATGTTTTTATAATATATGTTTATTACATGTCTAGTATATTTATGTGTAATATGTTTATATAATATATGTTTATTGTATTTCTAATATATTTTTTTAATTATTTTGTTAGATGGATGCACTGATGAAGGAGGTATATGGCCCTCGCAATACTTCATTGTAACGTCTACAAGGTCGACATAGATCAAATGGTCTTGGCGAGGCAACTATCGACGATATTGTGCGTGCTAGAAGCGCCGATAATGGCGTTTGGACCTTATTCCCGGCGGGTGTGCATCCTCATCCTCAAGTGATGCAATTGATATATACAATGGGATTTTATGGCGTATATCGGTGTAGACGCATGAAGGTTGATTTTCACCTCATAATTGCTTTGATCGAGAGATGGCGAGAGGAAACACACACCTTTCATTGTCGCGTCGGTGAGGCGACAATTACACTGCAAGACATGTTATGGGTACTGATTACATATATTCTACAACTGTTTGGATCGACTATTGTGGGGCCTTATTAGGTTCTTACGAAGCTAATGATCTTAGGGGAGGGAAGTTAACGGTTTTGGCCCTTACAAACTATTTGGTTGACAATTATGTCAATGATCACAGTTCAGATGTACGTGTTGCTCAGTTTACTCGAGCATTATCATTTATGCTATTTGGTGGGATTATGATTCCGGGTAATACCGGCAATGCTATACCTTCGATGTATTTGAAGCATTTTGAGGACCTCGATGCAGTTCGTTCTTATAGTTAGGGTAGTGCCACATTGGCGGTATTGTATCACGAGCTATGCAAGGCGACAATACGAGGAGAACATAAGGATGTCGTTGGAGGTACAATGCATCTTCTACAGTAGTGGGCATGGATGAGAATTCCCCATATAGCACCTATACTATAACAACTTAGAGATTACGATCCCATTACGGTGCTTCAACTAAACGCGGATGATGTATTTCCAGTACCTCCATGTAGTGCACGATAACACTCTAACTATAATTAATTCTGAAGATTTATATGCCTATAGAAATCTATTAACCTAAGTTGTAAAGTTACGTTGTGGAAACAGTATTCAGTTACAATTACAATACTTGTGATCACACATTTACAATTCTTGTGATCACACAAGAATATAATGTGGTTCAGACACAAATGTGCCCTACATCCACGTGGACCTGCAAACACGTTTTTCACTAGTTCGAATTTACAGTGTA